CACACACACACACACACAAACAAACAAGACAAAATAAAACAAAAAAAAACTGTTAAATACAAATCTGTGAACTGAGAATAAAACACGGGCCCCCGGAAATTCCAGAGTTGGGATCAGGTGTCTAGAAGGAGTAAGCATTACCTGTCGACCGGTGACACCCGTCAAGAACATTATGTATAGATGGAATATTCCGTAACCAAATTAGTATAAGAACAAAGACTAAACAATTGGAATGAAATACGTCAGCCAAAATACCACAAAATGATAGATTATTTGCTAACAGGGTCATTATAACGACCATAGAATTTACGAAATGCTTACTTTAAACGAGGTTGTTGAAATCCCTGTAACATCAACTTATCTGTCGATAACCTGCCTCGGTTTAAAAATTGATCCTACTCAGAGCCTTCTCTTGAATATCGTGTAAGTTGGAAGACGTAAACACCACAAGCAGGTGATAACAAAATATTACAACAAAAATAAAGAAAGATGACGATGGAGAAGCTGAAGTCATCTCTTTATCATACAATGAATCTAGTTGTTAGTTGGCCCTTATCGTCTATAGTCAGTAAAACATCCAAATATGAAACAGATGTTACAGACTCTGTATCTGTATCTTTTATTTCGAGTTCACTGGGATATATACTGGAATGAAACAGTCTAGACAATAACTGTTATTGATGTGCAAATATTTTAAAACCAATACAGAAGAATTCAAAGATACAATGACAGACGGCAGACTGTAAAGGAAGAATGCCTTATCTATGCTAATTGATGACAAGGGTACACAAAGTATCTCTCTTTTATAGAAATAAACATGTATAATTTATAATTGTGTCAAGACAAATGATTCATCAGGAAAAGTGTTACCAAATTTTAATTAGAAATGTAACCAATCAGTTTACTTTTCCAGTAATTTGTTTCATTAGGAAATGTGGATTTCTTGCTTGAAAGTGAAGATGAATAATTTAACATACTGTGAAATAGTGTGTTTTAATCAGAAGAATTACTCGCAGGAGCATCAACTCTTTGTATCCATAATTGTTTCATTTCATGGTTTGTAAACATAAAAGATCAATATCTTTCATTTGAGGAAACATTTTTGAATGAAAGAAGCATGTTCCACTCACACGCAAACACACACACAGACAGCAAGAGAAAGAGAGAGGGAGAGAATAAGATTATGTGGGTTTCTTCCTTGTTTAATTTATATGTACCCTTTTAACCCAGAACTCTTGAGATATATATTTACAATCTTCTAGTCGAATACAGACTAATCTAATTCTTAGCCATAATCAGAGTTACACGTTTGTACTTCATGTGTTTGTCTTTTTTCCATGCGTTTACTCTGTATTCTCCATAATTGGTTCTTATTTGACATCTTACTATCAATTAAGTTTATAGCGATTTGATGGGTTGTTTCTGATAAGGAAATCTCTTGAGGCGAAAAAGAATTACTCTCTTGGCTAGGCCGTTAGCTATTTTGAATGTGTGTAATTTGCTAAACCTTATATAGCTACATGATAAATTGACAGGCTATGTGGTTTACGTGGCTTAGAAAAAGTGAATGAATATCTATAACATCCATGCCCTGTACTTAAAAAGAAGTTTCAAATACTCAGTTATATGTCTCAAAGTATATTAAATGTTCTCAGAAAAAACTAAGAGTTATGGAAAACTCCTACAATTCAAAAATTCTCAGATCTTTATTGACAATTATTTTCTTTCTTTCGTCTGTAGGACATATAGTATAACATTCTCTTTAACATTGATAGCAGGGATTTAAGTTGATGCCTGGGTTGATATATATTTTTTGACTGATTCTGAATAGAAATTTCATAAATATTAAATCCCTTAAATATAAAGAAATCGTAGTTTTCTTTTGTGCTTTAATATGCGACTTTGTTTTTATTTCTATATAATTGTATACAAAATTTTGCATATATTTTTAACATTGCGACAAAATCTTACAAAGTTCTCCCACTTTATCTGGTAAACATCATTCAGGTTACTTATTTGAATATAAATCTATGAGAAATATTGCTGATTCTGAAAAAAGTTTGTTTGTGTTTTTTATCCTTAAGTTGAGTAAGACCTAATTCTTAAGAGTGTAAGATGTTTAAGGCAAGTCAATCTCACAGCTACATAGACAGATTTTGAAATGATAATTGCAACAATTAAATAGTCTAAAAATAAATTCTAAGGATTTGAATTCCGTTCTTTATTGTTAGAATTGATTAAGAGATCTGTAAATAATGTTAATCTTTTTCATGCATGAACAGAAGAATGTATAATACTAATATTTTTTCTAAATATATAAGTAAAAAATAATTTTAAAAAATCATGTTTTTTTTGTAAGAACACAGATTCACCAATGCTACCATAGGTTTCTTGGATATTTAATCCAAGATCTAGACATATTAAAGCTAGTTCCTTTGGCTGTTTCACATTTTAATTTAATCGTATGGTGATAAACGTGGGGATAACTTGATTATGGAGTAGTATAACCCATGATATCTGAACTTAATTGAAAAATTGTCAAAGTTTGCAAAGTTTAAGTAGGTCAGATCTGTGTACTTGTAATGAGGATGTTCTAAAAATAGCGGGTTTTCGAGTGTGTTTTCACTACAAACAAAAACGTGTCTGTTTATTTATTTTTTTTGTTTTAAATATTTCACTTGATATAAATACATCATTCGTATAGAAATTCATTTGTTTTTATATAGGAAAGCAACATTATCCAACACGCTTAATATTAGGTAATAACTTAGAATGCAAATTTTGCCCAAAGTTTATCTTGTCAAGAAATTGCATGGCCATCGCCATGACCTTAACGTTCTTTAATTATGAAGTTGTCTGCAACTCTTACGAACATTTTTGGAAGAATATTGCCAAAGTTGTCTTAATCATGGAAGTAAGAGTGAGTACTATTTTTAAAAACTACGACATCAACACTCGTATCATGAGCACAAAAGTGATGATCAAGGACTTTCAGAAATTATATTTTGAAAAAGATAAAAAAAAAAAAAAAAAAAAAACCCAATTATTTTATGTTTCGGAGTTCTCAGTCATCACCAGTATTTGTATTATGCAAGTATATTTTGGGGTTGATAATGGTATTTTAAAATAAGACTCGTGAGTATTTCCGTTAATGATAGAAGAAATTTGTGTAAAACAGACCAGGAATTACAGTTGCGAATAAGTATGTGCATGTAACTGAGCTTAAAAAGGGGTGGGAAGAATCTCGGTCAAAGTAATGCTATTTCCTATAGAAAAAAAAGGATTATTTTGGGGTAGGGAAAATATCCAGTAACTAATTTTAGTTGCTTATACATGTGTTTAGTGAGTTTAAAATTTTTCATTTTAAAAAAGTTAAATTGTAAAGAATTGTATGCTTGGGTTCTTTGGAGTACACAAGAGAAATTAAAAGGAAACTAAATATATTTTTATGCTAGTGGTAGTTTGAATTTTCTTTGAAAAATGCACTTTAATATAAAAAAAACGATGCCGATTTTTAATGAATGTGCCGAATTATCATACACTGATTATTAAAAAACTACCTATTTTATAATACATAACTAAATCAGTTCACCCCTGATTAGTGCAATTCAACTGTTAAACGAAATATGGATATACATGTATGAGTTTAACATATATATATATATATATATATATTTAATCTGATTTGACAATAATAAATGATTATACATGATTGATTAGGCAGAAAATCAACTTATGTTTTATTGGTCTTAGCCAACTAAACACAGAAATTTGACTATGCTTCTAAAAGAGTGAGGACCGAAAGAGGATGGAAGACGACTTCAATAGCGAGCTGATCTGTTTTGATTCAGAAAGAATGAGGACCAGTGGAGGATGGAAGATGACTTCAATAGCGAGCTGATCTGTTTTGATTCAGAAAGAATGAGGACCAGTGGAGGATGGAAGATGACTTCAATAGCGAGCTGATCTGTTTTGATTCAGAAAGAATGAGGCAGTGGAGGATGGAAGACGAACAACAGCGAGCTGATCTGTTTTGATTCAGAAAGAATGAGGACCAGTGGAGGATGGAAGACGACACAACAGCGAACTGATCTGTTTTGATTCAGAAAGAATGAGGACCAGTGGGGGATGGAAGACGACACAACAGCGAGCTGATGTTTTGATTCAGAAAGAATGAGGACCGGTGGAGGATGGAAGACGACACAGATAGCGAGCTGATCTGTTTCCCTCATTCCAAAGAATCTTTCTAGTATTAGGGGAAAAAATGAATATATCACAACTCAATTCAAACAAATGTTGTTCTAGTTTTCATGACCCTTGATTTAAATTTTTATGGACTATGATGTAAAGAGATATCACCCCGAACAAGACAGATATTTCTCGTTTTTCTTTGAATGATTTCAACAAGATCATTAAATGTCTTTGACGTAACTGCATAATTCTCTTGTGAGTTGTGCGACCTAATGACATTTTTAGTTGACGTTTTCTCTAAATCATGGCCCCGAATTTGTCTGTGTATAAATAACTCCATGATACACTGTCTCAAAGTTGTTCAGGAATCTAGACATTAGACCATGACAGTTCGCGTTAGCGATGCATTAGCTGTCCGAGAGCTGTCTTCCACTACTCCTTGTAATTAATTTTGAGAGTTTGATTCATTTCGTTTACAACAAAAAGCTTGTTCTTTGATACTTAATGAAAAGAAATTTATGTTACGCAGCAGAAACTTGGTACAAGGATTGATTGTTTTTTCTCTGTTTTCCGTTTATATGTCACTTATGGAGCTTCTCTCATTTCGTTATTAATGATGATTTTATTTTAACATTTTATGGATCATAAAAAAATTGTCTGTTTATTTCAAACTTTAATGGTCCTGTATTTGATAAAAATATATCACGAACATACAAATACATTGACCGGATCATGAACAATGAAATAGTTACACGAATTATACAATTTTTACAACAGAAAAAAGTGAAAATTGTTTGAAAACTTATTACCTTCCAGAGCATCACAGTCTCGGAAAAGGTTTCCGTACTGTTCAAATAATACCACTAGTCCAGCGAGCATGTCCGAATGTATGTCCGCAGATTTCTCTTTATTGGAGTCTGATATGTTCTTTGTAACACTGAAAAAATTCTCCACTAAAAGCGGAGGTTGATATAATATCTCTTTTTTGACCGAGTCTCGTAATATGGGAAGCATTTTTCTTTTGTACCATAGAGACGTATAACTATTCGTATCCAAGGGCTGGTCAAACTCTGTTTGATTTGCCTTATGAAGCGTTTCTTTTAGCATGGTTTGGTTAAAACTTCTGTACTCCCAATAATCTGTTGTCATGGACACGATTAGTAACACTGTGACATTTCCAGCAAAAATTAAGCTACTGTAGTTACATATCTGCATGCCCGGTCATAGCTGAAGAAGGTATCCAGTACAATCACATCAAAACGGCCGGGAAAACTTTGTACTACTAACACCAATCCCTTCTTAGAACGCGTGAGTGAAAAAGTTCGATCTTCGATAAAACAATCCTATTTCACTTAACAATACCTACCTATTATCGATCAACAATGAGCGAAACATAATTAATTTCGCTCCAGCAATATCTAGTCTCCCATATTTACATCATGACAAGTCAAACAAAAATCACCCAAATGAAACTCGTATTTTTCTAAACTAACTGCGAGATTATCATCAGTATTGCTTTTTTTTCTTTCAAATGTTTTCATGCCAATAAGTTTGTTTTCACATTTCACTCTTAATGCACAGGACTTTCGTTTTTCAAGTTCATGAATTCGTGAAAACAATTAATTAAACAAACTAGTACGTCTTGAGAAGTCTCTTGACTTAGAGTCTGTCTTTTCGATTAAATTGATAGCCGTTTCTATATTTGTTGGAGATGCTTCAGTTCGCGGCGATGTTATATCTTTTTTTTATTCTCGGCATCCAAACAATCAGACTGAATCATGAACCTCGGGACAGTGACGTAGTCGGCGATCCGATTGTTTCATTTGTTTGCGTTTTCTTCCAAAAAAATATATCCTATACAATGTCAAATTCCAAATTAACTTTGAGATGGTGTCGGCATCTTCTGGCTGACGTTACATCACAATCCGAGGGAAAAGAAGTACTGCATGTTCATATATTATCCGGTGTTTGTCAATAATGTCAGATCTAAATGTGGAGTCATATCTCAAGATTTGGCTTCATACAAGACTCTGCTTTGACAATAAAGTGTCAATAATATGTGAATAATTTACACCAAAACATTAATACTTGGAGTAAAGGGACTTCTGCCGCTGCGATCATTTCCTTGAAAATGACGAAAAGACGGACTCCTAAGGGAATATCCTACCCTTGGCACTAATAACATGGGAGACTTTAAGATCTCTCGTCACATAAATCCACGCGTTATTAACTTCTCGGACAAAATATTCTCGAAACTCTTTAGGAAATAGATTATCTGATTTGTAAAACGCAAGATGAAATAAGAAAAAATAACAGGCGCATGATATTGTTTTATTAAGCATGTGTCTAGTTTTATTGTACTATGTTGACATACATATTTTCTCCACATTATTTATAACAAACAACTAAGCATGTGGTAATATTACAAAGATATACAGATCAATCTCATTACAATCTCTTGCATTATCAGGCTTTTATTAGAAATTATTACAATCATCACATATGGTGAATGTAATAATTTCTATGCTTACAAAGACAGATAAGTTCTACTTATGGAGAGAAAAAGCAATCATAAAAGAGAAAACTTTCTAAGATATAATTTTGCAGCGTTTTCCTAGCAATCTAACCAAATTTATATCGAACGGTGAATAAATTCATGCAGTGTGATACATATCAGTTATGACAAGTTGCAGTATTCGCCATGAAAAAGTGACACCTATTTCATTGGCTTTCATATCAGTCACACGGCTATCACTAGCAATCTCTTCTCAAGAAATTCGAGTCTTTTTTTCCTTGTGCTGCTAGTACTTGATTTTACTCTATAATTCTTAATATAAGCTATGGTTAAGACACTTCCTTAAGCCATTTATTAGGTTCGCTATCTCTGATCCTATTTCTTTTAAAATATTTATCATTGGTTGTAGATTTTAGGAAAATACAACATACAATGTTTGATATATGGGTAAGTTTAAATTGGTTTGTGTTGTCAACTCCGAAGAGTTGCCATCATAGGCTTACTCTATCACAAAATCAATAGCGCCAGAGGTCCAGCGCTTTAGTTTTTGTATCCGGGGAGAAAATGGCGAATGGCCACATTAGTTATACTCATATTTCATATGATGTATTCTTGTTGCTTTTAAAGTTGTCCGAATCAATACTGTAATATAGCTAGTGAAAGATACAAACAGATAAATATCAAAATTAAGAAATCACAAGCCCATTTTGTCCGTAACTGTTTACCTTGTGCCTAAGTCTCGTGATAGGAGCCCATAAAAATGGATTTCGTATTGAATTGCATCAAGTTTAGCAAGTTTTCTCGTTGAAATTATCATTTTAGTGTATATGGACTTAGGGTTCATTGACTTCATATGTGTTGAGTACAAGATAAACTTCAAGTTTGTAACAACTGGAACCTAAACTTTTCACTTTTAGAACTTGAGTAGTAGTGCCATTTCTTTTTTGATATAACATGCTCATCTCACATATTGGTTGTACATGTTGATGTACATGTATCCTTGCCTTTTTAGCTCACCTGAGCCAAAGGCTCAAGTGAGCTTTTCTGATCAAAATTTGTCCGTTGTCTGTCGTCGTCGGTGTCGTCGTCGGCGTCGTTGTTGTCGTAAACTTTTCACATTTTCATCTTCTTCTCAAGAACCACTGGGCCAATTTCAACCAAACTTGCCACAAATTATCCTTGGGTGAAGGGGATTCAGATTTGTTCAAATGAAGGGCCATGCCCTCTTTCAAGGGGAGATAATAAAGAATTAGTGAAAAATTAATAGCATCTTTTAAAAATCTTCTTGTCAAGAACCACAAAGCCAGGGAAGATGAAACTCATGTGGAAGCATCCTTAGGTAGTGTAGATTCAAGTTTGTTCAAATCATGACCCCCGGGGGTAGGGTGGGGCCACAATGGAGGATCAAAGTTTTACATAGAAATATATAGGAAAAATCTTGATAAAAAAAAAATCTTCTTCTCAAGAACAGCAAAGCCCTGATTGGTCATATTTATATGAAAGCATCCTCAGGTAGTGTAGATTCAAATTTGTTCAAATCATGACTCCTGGGGGTAGGGCGGGGCCACAATGGAGGATCAAAGTTTTACATAGAAATATATAGGAAAAACCTTTAAAAATCTTCTTCTCAAGAACAGCAAAGCCATGATGAGTCATATTTATATGGAAGCATCCTCAAGTAGTGAAGATTCAAGTTTTTCAAATCATGACCCCCGAGGGTAGGGCGGGGCCACAATGGAGGATCAAAGTTTTACATAGAAATATATAGGAAAAATCTTTAAAAATCTTCTTCTCAAGAACAGCAAAGCCCTGATTGGTAATATTTATATGGAAGCATCCTCAGGTAGTAAAAATTCAAATTTGTTCAAATCATGACCCCTGGGGGTAGGGCAGGGCTACAATTGAGGATCAAAGTTTTACATAAAAATATATAGGAAAAATTTTTAAAATCTTCTTCTCAGGAACAGCAAAGCCCTGATTGTTCATATTTATGTGGAAGTATCCTCAGGTAGTATAAATTCAAGATTGTTCAAATCATGACCCCCTGGGGTAGGGTGGGGCCACAATGGAGGATCAAAGTCTTAAATAGAAATATATAGGAAAATATCTTTCTGATGAAGAACTGCAAAGCCATGATTAGTCATTTTGATTTGGAAGCATCCTCAGGTAGTGTAGATTCAAGTTTGTTAAAATGATGACCCCCGGGGATAGGGATGGGCCACAATGGGGTGTCGAAAATTTTACATAGGAACAAATAGGAAAATATCCTCTTCTCAGGAACTGCAAAGCCATGATTAGTCATTTTGATATGGAAGCATCCTCAGGTAGTGTAGATTCAAGTTTGTTAAAATGATGACCCCCGGGGATAGGGATGGGCCACATTAGGGTGTCAAAAATTTTACATAGGAACAAATAGGAAAATATCCTCTTCTCAAGAACTGAAAATCATGTTTAGTCATTTTGATATGGAAGCATCCTCAGATAGTGTAAATCAAATTCGTTCAAATGATGACCCCGGGGGTAGGGTGGGGCCCAATCGGGGATCGAAAGTTCTACATAAGAACATGCAGAAAAAATATTTCTTCTCAAGAACAGAAAAGCTATGTTAAGTCATATTGATATGGAAGCATCCTCAGGTAGTGTAGATTCAAGTTTGTTCAAATATTGACCTCTGGGATAGGGAGGAGCCACAATGGGGGATCAAATTTTTACAAAGGATTATATGGGGAAATTTTTTCAAAATTTACTCAAGTACAACAAAGCCATTTGTTATATTGACATGAAAGCATCATCAGCCCCCCCCCCCTCATCCCCCCCCCAGTAACCTTTTCAATACTGAACTGATTTGTGGTTTTGCCTAGCCAATGTGCTCAGGTGAGCAATGTGGCCCATGGGCCTCTTGTTTTTCTTTGGATCTATCTTTGCCAAGCAAAATGAGTAAGAATACCATCAAAATTGAGATATACTCAGAGAGAGAGATCTAGTCTTTCAACAACAATTTTTTTCCTTCTTTCATACCATATTCCTTATTAAAATCTACGCTTCTTTTACTGGTGTAAATGCCATTACATGTCTTGTAACTTCTTTAAAGAAGGAATTAAAATAAATATTACAAAAATGTTTCAGTTTCCATGTATCATAAAAATATTTTCACGAATTCGGAAAAAAAATCGCCAAAATAATCTCTAAAACAACTACTCCTGTAGATGACGCGGTTTAACATGTACATAGAAATGTGCTGATCACTATAGATGACGCGGTTGAACATGTACATAGAAATGTGTGCTGATCATTTAATCGTCAAAATGAACTACTCCTGTATAGATAACGCGGTTAACATGTACATAGAAATGTGCTGATTATTTTTGAAGCCTTGTCATTTCTTCAGAAAAAAGATGAATTTTTGAAGTAGTGTTTAAGATAAAGAAGCTGTGGCTATAGTCTTGTGACTGGGATTGACGGGGCTACAATAAGATGAAATAAATGGCGAAGTAGATGCGTGATAAATAATCACAAAGAACTGATTTTTGCAATGGTTATATTTAAAATCGGGTCACTCAGTGACAGTTCAACTAAATAAAAAAAGAGAAAGCTTGAGAATACCAGCACGGAATAATCTTCTGAAGAATAATAAAACACTGAACACTTTTAGATCGCAGATTTGTCCCAGAGAAGAAAAATAAAACATTGAAAACTATTAGATTCTAGATTTGTTCTAGAGAAGAAAAATAAAACATTTAACACTTTTAGATCGGAGATTTGTTCTAGAGAAAAAAAATTAAACATTGAACACTTTCAGATCGGAGATTTGTTCTAGAGAAGAAAAAATAAAACATTGAACACTTTTAGATCGGAGATTTGTTCTAGAGAAGAAAAAATAAAACATTGAACACTTTAAGATCGGAGATTTGTTCTAGCGAAGAAAAATAAAACATTGAACACTTTAAGATCGGAGATTTGTTCTAGAGAAGAAAAATAAAACATTGAAAACTGATTTGTTTTAGAGAAGAAAAGTAAAATATTAAACACTTTTAGATCGGAGATTTGTTCTAGCGAAGAAAAATAAAACATTGAACACTTTTAGATCGGAGATTTGTTCTAGAGAAGAAAAATGAAACATTGAACACTTTTAGATCGGAGATTTGTTCTAGAGAAGAAAAATAAAACATTGAACACTTTAAGATCGGAGATTTGTTCTAGAGAAGAAAAAATAAACCATTGAACACTTTAAGATCGGAGATTTGTTCTAGAGAAGAAAAATGAAACATTGAACACTTTTAGATCGGAGATTTGTTCTAGAGAAGAAAAATAAAACATTGAACACTTTTAGATCGGAGA